TCTACTTGCTGAAATAAAAACAATTTCAGTTCATAAAAAGTCACAAGACTTCAGTTTAAAAAAAGGAACAGTTCCAGCCACAGACCAAAAATATATATATTTTTTTAAACTGGAAGAGTATGGTAATTAGATTATACAAGCATGGTCAGGCTTGGAACCTGAATATACTTCAGAGCAAAAGCTCAGAGAAAAAAAATAGAAACTATTTGGTAACAAAAGTGTACTATATGTTGTGATACAAAAAAGGTATGGTGAAAATGTACCTTTTATACTAAAGCTTATACAAGTTCCTTGGTCCGTAAAAACTATGTTGTGTTCATGTTTTCTAGTTTGCTTAACTTGTATCCCAGCCACACTTCTATTTCTTGCCCATTAAAAAAACAGCTGAAAAATATATTTTCAATAAAGTTCTTACATTTCAGATGTATTTTTTTATTGTGGCTTCTTATTTTTTTAAGATGAGCACTTGCAGGTAACATAGTTCAAATAATATCACTTAGAATGGAAAGGTGTTTTCCCATGAAACTACAAAAATTGTTCCATTTTCTTGCCTGTAGCATGTGAGAGTCAATTAAAGTCCAGACAAACAACAGTAGTTAAGAAACTACTGTTGCCGTAGATGATGTGACGTTGGTTGGATTTGTGCTGGCATTTGTGTAACTTCCCTCGCTGTTTGTATTTGTTTCACTGGAAGCCATGAGGCTTGAGTTGGCTCTGAGAATTGCTCCAGCAGCACTGCAATGTGGTCGTGGCCCTGGCTCTGGTGTATATGTAAAGGTAAGGCTGGTAGAGTAGATTATGCCATCATTACGGACTAAAGTTACTGGAACTTGGACTGGCTGACGGACCCACCTCCAACCCTCTCGGAATGCAGAAATGTCTGGAACGACACACAGCATGCTCTCTGCACATCTGACAAAGGAAAGGACAGAAAGTTAAATGTCAAACAATCTATCACTAAAAGCCGTGCAATACAGCAGGTAAGGAGATAATCAAGTTGAAAAATAAATAAATAAAATAAAAATGGAAGGAAAAGAGAGATATACACTCTTCAAACTTCAACACCCATTGCCATGAGGCAACAGAAAATAATACTGCACCTGTACATGGTTTCAGCCTCCACATCCCCAAACCACACACGTAAATTTGGAGTGAAATTCTGTCCTGTAAGTTCCAGCATTGCTACATCCCCACCACCATTCAACTGGAGAGATAAAAACAAACAGATGTAACAAAATCAATTCCCTTTACAATAAGTACAAGGTACCATGAACACTGCTGCTTTTAGCAATTAGACAAAAAACACTAAAACATGACTAATTTAAAAAGCAATCATTTGAAAAGCAGTCCCAAAAGTTTGATATCCTGAAGTAATTGGTTACTCTTGATGGATGATCAGTTATGTTTCAAAATATAAACAGCTAACAGCAAAGCTTCTGGAAGTAAAGACCCTGTTCCCTCTTTATCAATTGACCATCCCTCAAAACACAAGTCCAAAGAACTTCAGGACTAAGGATTTCACCTCCTTTTGGGTAGCCAGTCTTCTGAGTGCTCTTTCAAACAGGGAACAAAGGATTTGGGTAATAAGGAAACATGCCGTTCATTTGTAACTGGTTTTTGTTATTGATAAGGGAGCCAAAATACATTTCTAAATAATAATAATAAAAAAGTTAAAGTCCTGGAGTATTTATCATAAGAGTATAATTTTAAGAAACACAACCATCCTTAACAAACATACAAAGTAAAAAAACTTAGGGCTCCTGGCAGACATTCCATTTAAGATGTGATTAAGTACATCTTAGCAGTAACCTGGCCAGATGTTAATGCAATTAAAGGTGCAATAAAACAAGGAATAGGCCACAAAGTTATTATATAAAATGTGTGATAAGTTGGTGGCTGGTTCCCATTGTGCCTTAAACTGAACACGAGGCCAGGCATCAGCTGATCAAGGCTCTCTAGAGGCTGGGAGCCCTGATCAGCTGACTGCTGGTCCCAGTCTCAAGAATGCCCTGGAGCCTGAGAGCCCAATGTGCCCCTGAGGCTGGGAGCGCAGATCAGCTGACTAGCTTGCTAACTGTTGGTGCAGGTGAAGCCTGGGGTCACAATCACTGTCACAACTGAGTCCCAATACCTAACCCCCCAATCACACCTCCTGCTATGCATGTGTAGCATGGCAGAAGCCTCTATTGCTGGGATCCCACTGAGCCATTAAGTGAACATCTGCCAGGGTCCTAAGTGTTCTTTCCATCAAGAATGTCTTCTCCTTTCCCATAGTAGAGATGAAAAACTAAAGCAAAAGCCTTATGGAAGCTAGAAAGCAGTGTATTTGCTTTATTTGGGGAATAGTTTCTTATGGATGCAGATTTTTTTTTTTGTGTAGGACTAGTTCTGCCTAAAAGGTTGAGAGAGGCTTAGATGGAAGATCTTTGTCCACTGGGTAGAAAAAAAGTCACCTCAACAAGATGTTTACTGTGCAGCTGACTTATCAGCTGCATGGTAAGCATCATGCATCTACACATGTGCCCCTATTAGGCTGGAGTAAACAAAATTTACTCTGCAGCAGCGCATGCGCACACGCTGCCCTGGCTGGCTGAACCACAAGGGTGCTTCAGTACAGGGCTGCCTGCTGGCTAGCCCTGCACTGAAGCACCCTCATGCCCCAGCCAGCCCCCCTGCAGCAATTTGAGCCTGGAGCAGCAGGCCTGGGTTGGCAGGCTGACCCCCTGGGTCCCATGTCAGCCACGGATGCTCCAACTCGGCTCAATGTTCTACAGTCCCGGGCACACATGAAGACATGTGCCTGGAAGCAATAAACTCTGAAGTTTATTCACACACATTAATATGCATGTGTAGATGTGCCCAGAGAGTCAGAACTCTTTGCTTTTACTTCAGACTCAAGTTTTATCTTGATTTAAATTTGCTTCTCTTTGCCTCAATTCTCCTATCTATAAGACTTACCTACAATAACTCGTGAAAGTCCTATTAAGTTTAATTAATAGCTGAAGTTTTCAAACATTCCCAGATGAGAAGTGCTATAAAGAGGTATAATGTTTATTAAAAAGAAAAGAAAACAAAAAAAATACATATTTGACTTACCTGAAGACTTTCTACAACAGGCACAGGTGTTACTGGAGCATGCACCGGTCCCATCCCCTCATAAAATGTATACTCTGCTTTATCTGTACTAATGATTGTCCAAGAAGCTCCATCATTAATCATCTCTTTATTTGGTTCCTTTGGGCATGGAGTGGCCTTAGTAAGAAAGAGAAGTTTGGTCTGTATAACTGGTTCAGCATTCAAATCAATGTTATAAAACAGTCATTTGTATTGGTATAAGCTAGTGGACAGCTGACAATGGCCATGCACAGATGGTCACATACTTCACTGTAATTTAAATGTAAATTATGCTGAGGGTAAGGACACGTATACACTAAAAGCCATTTCCAATAGGGAAGGTTTCAAAAGGGTAGCAGCTGTTACATTCCAATTGTTATGAGTGGACATGTAGGGAAGGCTACAAATGTAGTGAAATCACTCCACCTTTAACACAGATGTATCCAGGGCTAGTTAGAATGGTTTTGCAACATTGGCATTGTTTCCTGCTCGTCCACACATAACTGGAACATAACGGCTGCTTCCCTTTTGAAATGGTCCCAAATGTGTGTGCCTTCATATTGAGATATTATGAACTGAGAGTTATGTAGATGTTCCAGGAGAATAGGTGCTACTACAGTACTTCCTCACTAGGTGGCAGGAAGTAGGTATAGCCAGGTGGCTTTAAGAAAGCAGTTCCTTGAGGTAAAAGCACACGAAGCGTAAACCAATATTATTAATTCTGCCAGTTTTACCCCTGATTCTTTCAGAGATAATATTTTACCAAACCGGAAGGAAATTAATCTGGTATAAAGATCTTTTTCAACACTAGGGTAATGCTAATTACAGTAGCACAGATGTAATATTTCTCCACAGCCAGTGGCTTTCATTTAAAAATGTTATCATGGTCTCCCCATAATAGAAAATAATGAAAACCCTTATGGAACAGATTGTAATACATTTCCTCATGCTAAAACAGCCATGAGGAGCCCAACAATGTGTAAAATAAATAAAATAGGAAGCAAGAGAAATGATCATAACCAGAATATGTGCTCAAACCCAGATAAATATAAGAAGGTCTAGGAGTGTGCCAACCAACCAACCAACCCACCCTTTTTTTTAAAGGAGTAAACGGGAGTGGGAAAGGGAGGTGTGGGGAAAATACTGAACATTTCTATTGTGATATGGTCATGATACGTAAATGCTGGGAGGAGGGAAAAAAAAAAATCACTGCGTCAGAAATAGTACTTGAAACAGTGCTAGAAAAAAAGTCTGTCCACATACCAAAGTAGCTTTGTATTAATATTTTGTTAACTTAATGGGAAGCAGAGGCCTGCATTGTACTGCACAGCTTAACTGTCAGACATCAAAATGTGCAACAAAAAGGAAGAAACTACTTACTGGTTATTTTACTTTTCCTGACCTCTCCAATTCCAGTAAAATGCCTGGCTTATATTTCTTCTCGACCAGCAGGTGGGGATAGAAAACTAAGACACTGTGTCATGTTTTCACCTATAAAAAGTCTAGCTATCTCTCAGTATTCTACTGAATGCTTGGTTTAGCAGTACTAAACAAAAAAATTAAACTGATGCTATTCAATACATTACAAATGGTTTTAGTAAATTAAGAACACCAATCTTATAGTAAAAGCAGACATTGCCTTTTGTTGCCTTTGTGCGGCCATAAAAAAAACGTTACAGCAGCACAAAGGCCAAGCAAACAGATGCCCATGCCCCTTGTACCAAAAATTGCCCAAAATCTGTAGTTGTGACAAAGGTGGTAAGAATTTGTGCAGACATTTATTTGCTCTGTGGTGCACGTGTGGGCAGCCCAGAGCTTTAAAAATATTCTGATGCTTCCTTCTTTTTCCTGTTCTCTATTGCATCAGTGAGGATTTGGATGCATGTAATCTTTAAAGCCTTGGTGCAGAATGAATATCTGCTTGAATTCTACTGCCCTAACCTAGGTTATAGCACCCTACCAATAGCCAGAAAATACAGCATCCCCCTCTCTGTAAGATTTTTGGATCAAATGTATTAATAAATAGTTGATTTACTAGTTCAAATGAAAACTGATGATGTCTTCAACCTGAAGTCAGTCAAACTCCTCAGCATGACATTAGCCAAGTGAAAAATCATACATAGCTGCTTGCTAGGAAGGCATGCAACTTCCTGAAACTCTACTTTTGTCTTATTATTCATAAGATGAGCCCCCATTGTCTGCAGCACTATAGAACCACTTTTATTAGAAACAGAATTTGAAGCTAGAAGACTCAAAGTATTTCTCAATGCCATGAAAATTAGACACTATGAGAGCACGGGGGTCAAGTCAGTCAAGATCCAGGAGACTCACTATAATTTGCAGTTTATCTGCAGCCTCCAGAAATAAAGAAACATTGGTCCCAGATTGGTCCTTAAATTTTCCCCAGGCACTGAGATTTTGTACCCAATCCTTGAACTGTCTGTTTAATATATTAAAACACTTTCTTGAGCAAAAGGAGATAATCTAGTTGAAACCTGGGGTTTTTTTGGTAGTGGCTGAGACCCCTTTTATCTGGATGAAAGCTCTCATTTATGCTGGATTTACTTCTGTTAGACTGAAATCCTGGAGCCCATCTGGGATTCTCTTGGTGCATCTCACTACTGTGAAGCAACTACCGACTGATAGTCTCCAACACCTTCTTGAAAAGAAACCTGGCTTTGAGGGACTGAGCTGCTGGCCTTAACTTTAAAGAATCTGCTATCCTTGTCTGCCAACAATCTGTTTTACTGGTTGAACAGTTTATGCCATACCTGGATTCACAAATGAATAGGAAGCCCAGAAATAGGGGTGTGACCATTCAGATTTCTCACCTTTTCCTTTTGTATTCCTATTACCCTTCTGCATCCCTCTTGTCAAGGTCTGGGAGCTGTACATCTCAAAAACTGGAGCTCATCATGACAGGCCAGAGATCAAATATTTCTGGAGGCTATCTTTTATTTATTTATTTTTTTTATCATGAGGATCCTTGAGAGCTGTTGACCTGCTGGTTTTCCATAGCCTTCTCCCTATTTAATTCCTGCTGCTCTAGCTATCTTAATTTTCCCACTGTCATCCTCCTCAGGTGGGGTCCTGTACGCTGATCAGTGATATATTGGTCTTAACTGCACTGATATCCTCCTGATAAAATTCAGTGGCAGGTGATCAGCAATTCCGGCTCTGTGACAGAAAGCCTACTCCTTGAACTTGAACTCTAGGCAAGGGATATGCAGCCCCTGGCACACACAGACATTTCCCCTGGCACGCCAGGAAGTGTGCTGAGGGAAAAAATAAAAATTAAACATTTAAGTTGCTGCTCCAGGCTCTCCAGAGCAGCCACGGGTCTCAGCCAGTGTGAAGAGAACACAGGCAGGGGCACAGCCTGCGTTCTGCTGACCCCAGCCCCGCATCCACAGCTAAGTTTGTGAAGCACTTAACACTGCCACAGACATGGGAGCAGGGTCAAGAGAACAGAGAACTGCATCCCTGCCTGTGTATTCCTCACCCTGCCACTGGTGCCTGCCATGGTGCTGGCTGGGGGATGCCAGGGGGGGCAGGGAAGGAAAGCCAGCAGCAGCGGTGGCCACCACCCCGTGTACCCAAAGCCCATACTGCTTGTCTGTGTGCCTGCATTGCTGGGGGGAGGGTCAGTCACACTCCAGCAGCCCATCCTCATCTTCCTCCTCTTTCCCTTTCTCTAGGGACCTACCAAATTCACAGTGGAAGTGGGCTGCGCAGCAGCACCTTTAATCTTGTAGGTTCACTTGCGCCACCCCCTGCTGACTGGTGGAAGGGCTGCGCTTCAAGCTTGCTCCTGACTGGCAGGGAGGAGAAAACTGCAGTTTTAAACTTGGCACCTTTTCTGTCTCCCTGCTGCTGACGGGCCGAGGCCCTCTGCTGACCAAAGGAGAGGCAAAAACAGTGCCATATTTAAAACTGCGGTTTTCACTTCCCTGATAAATCAAGGACAAGATACAGGTCCTGTGGACTGTAAGCAGGGTGGGCTGGACTCAGAGGGGGGAACCCAGGCACTGGGTGAGGGGGAACTGGGAGGAGCAGGGGAGCCTGTGTGCGGGCAGGCAGGGGAGACCTGGAGCCTTCTGGGGGTGGAAGCCTGCACTTCATGGGCAGGTTGTGCTCCCTGGGAGTTGCAGGGCAGTGGGGGAGGGAGGGGATGAATAAGGGATTGCTTCCCTTTCTGGAGCCCGCTGGCCACACTAGCAATCCCTCCCCCCTGGCATTAACTCTGCTAGACTTCCATGCCAGAAGTGCTGGGGCAGCTGGCAGCCTGCCTGCTGGGGGTTGCAGCATTGCAGCTCAGGCGCCCCAGAAGCAATGAGGCAGGCAGAGCCATGTGCATGCCAGCTACTGCTGCCCCTGCTCTCCCAGCCCCTTCCACCCTCTGACTTGCACTGTGCACCACAGAGCCCAGCTCCACAGCTTCCCCTGCCTCTGCACTGCCACCCTGGGGCTGCTTGCCAAACTAGGATGAAATCATGTAATAACCCTCTCCCACCCCCCAGCAACTGCAGGTGTTTCTCTCATGAATCGTCATCAGGGAAGCGAAAACCGCAGTTTTAAACATGACACTGTTTTTGCCTCTCTGCTGGTCAGCAGCAGACAGCAGAGATACTGAGACCCTTCAGTCAATCAGCAATGGGGAGACAAAAAAGGTGCCAAGTTTAAAACTGCAATTTTTGCCTGCCTGCCAATCGGGAATGAGCCGCAAGCACAGCACCTCCACCAATCAGTGGCAGGGAGCACGCCGGGGAACCTGCAAAATTAAAGGTGCTGCTGCACAGCCCACTTCCACTGTGAATTTAAGTCCCTATATTTTTCTCTCTTTTCTTTTTTCTTTCCTTCTTTCTTCTCTTTTTTCCTTCCTCTCTTTTCTCTCTCATTTTTTCTCGTCTTTTTTCTCTCCCTTGTCTTTCCTTCTTTCTCCTCTTTCCTCTTTTTCTATTTCTTTTCTCCTCTTTCTCTCTCCTCCTCTCTTTCTCTTCTTCCTCTCCTTCCTTTTTCCCCCCCTCTCTCTGTCATCTCAACATGCTTAACAAAAAAGAAATACACAACAACAAAGGTAGTATATGAAATTTTATTCATTGTCACCAGGTTTAGAATGTTTAGAAAACCTGGTATTTACTGTAAGAAAAAACAATGCTTATGTTTATTAACTATATTAATTAGCAGTGTAGCCTGCCATGTACTCCCAGCCCTGGTTTTGTTTCT